GAGTCTCTCGAAGAGATTCAAGTTTACCTATGGGAGATTCTGGTTTGATATCCTCATGAGGACGACCATTATCCGCAATGAAGTAATTTCTTCTCCCCAAGTACATAATTTATTGCCGGCTTGAATCTTGCAAACATGGACACACCCAGTGTAATGAATATTGTTGATGTTACCATCTAAAGTTTTTTGGCTCCCCAGTGTATGAGGTAGTCTTTGTCCCCAGTCAAAGCCGAATTTCAAGGACCTGCCAGAGTAACTTATCTATCATTCCCCAGTGGAGCGAATTATTCTTTCCCTAGTGGAGAAAGTGTCATGTCTCCCCAGTGTGGTGTGCATAGGAGTGCCAGTCATAACTCTTTCATCCTCGGTGATAGAAGATTTTGTTGAGATATCACCAGTGGAGTTTTTTGTCCCAGGATGTTTGTTTCTTCCCCAAGTGAAGACTCTTTCCCCCTCAGTGGTGTTATCCCCAGTGTGGTCTAAGTAGAATTCTTTTTATTTAAGAATTTCTATACTCCCAAGTAGAAGCTATCTTCCTCGAGAAATTCTATGCGGTAAATTTTCCATCCCCATCAAAGCTCTCCTCTTTTCAACAGAAGATAAAGAGTTTGTTCCCCCAAAAAGTTGTAACTCTGATCATGATTCAAGATTTTCTATGAACTGCAATTTATTTTTGCAGTATTCTTCCCAAGAAGTTACTTCCTCAAAGTTATCGATCTTTTGAGGATTGATGGTTTTGAATCTTGTTTCCCCATTGAGGTTTAGTTTATCTTTTCTCTATAGAAGATCAGATGCGCAAGAATAATCGTTCAGAAGTTCGTTGTCTTCTCAGCAGTCGATTATTAACGTGATTTCCCTAGTGTATTTATAAACATGCATCATTACATTTCATCCACCAAAACGCGTAAAATTTCAATGGTATGGAGCCTTACGCTAAAAAATTCAAACATGCATGAGTATAAGCCAATTATATTCACCTGTGGCAACCAGATTGTTATGCGCTCAGATCTAAATGATCTCCACAAGAATCTTAGGGTGATTATATTCTATTTCCCCAATGGAGTTTGTTTGACTTACCACCAGTCGGGTCTTTGGTATTTTCTCATTTCCCCAGTGAGTCGTGGTTTTCTCTTGCCCTTGCAATCCCTTAGGTTATTTTTACCCGTGTTTGCTTTGCCATTAGAGTGTGAGTAAGAGTCAATGTATAGCCTTTCTTGCTTCTCAAGTATTTGAGTATCCATACTTGGTGTGTGGTAATTCAGATAATTGCCACTCTTGAAAAATTACACCCCGCCTTTGGCCTGAGGGATTTGGTAGTTCTTGTGTATTTGGAAACTTTTAAAGCCCAACGCGTGTTGGAAATCCTTGTTTAGAGTCCCTACAGTTGGTCTCTTTTTTCTAAACACAAGTATGCCTTCGACAGACATTCTGTTTGGGTTTAATACATACGGGAATCCCCAATGAGTTTGTGTTTTGTGCTTGCCCTTGCAAGCCTTTGGTTATTTTACCCGTGTTTGCTTTATCGTTCGAATGCAAGTAAGAGTCAGTGTATAACCTTTCTTGCTTCTCAAGTATTTGAGTATCCATACTTGGTGTGTGATAATTCAGATGATTGCCACTCTTGAAGAATTATACCCCGCCTTTGGCCTGAGGGATTTTGTAGTTCTTGTGTATTTGCAACCTATTGAAATCCCAACATGTTTTGGCAATCCTTGTTAGAGTCTGTTTTGACCGGTCTCTTTCTCTTGTAGAGTTCACCTTCAATCGGTGCTCTTTGAAGGTCCTGCTTAGTCGATTCCTTGTTTTGGTTTATCTGCGTTAGTCGGGTCCTCCTTTCGTTAATTTATCTAACCTTTCCCTTTAAGAGTCCTTCAGTGTCTCTTCAAAGTCCAGTTGTCTGGCAACCTTGTTTAGGCGAATGCGTCCTTTCTTGTTGGAGATTTCTTCGGTTAGTCTCATTCTTGTGTTTTCTATCCAGTCCGAACATTTGTTTCTTAATGCTCGATTTTGCTCTTGTGTGTCTAACTCTTACCAGATATGTATATTTTTATCCCCTGTGAGTTCTCCTTTGATTGTTGTTCTTTTCTTAAATCCACCTTCGGATGGTACCTTTTATTAAGAGTCCCCTTCGACTGGTCTCTTTTCTTTGTAAGTTCGCCTTTCATCGATGTTCTTTCCTTAGGAATCTACCTTCGGCATAGTATTCCTTGCTAAAGATTCCCCTTCGGATGGTTTCTTTACCCTTAGAATCCACCTTCGGTTGGTACCTTTTGTTAAGATTCTGCTTCGGCTGGTTTCTTTACCCTTAAAATCCACCTCCGACTGGTACCTTTTGTTAAGAGTCCCCTTCGGCTGGTCTCTTTTCATTGTTAAAGATTCCTCTTCGGCTGGTATCTTTTGTTAAGAGTCCCCTTCGGCTAGTCTCTTTTCAGTTGAAAGTTCTCCTTTGATCAACGTTCTTTTCTTAGGAATCTACCTTCGGCATAGTATTCCTTGTTAAAGATTCCCCTTCGGCCGGTTTCTTTCCCCTTAAAATCCACCTTCAACTGGTATCATTTGTTAAGAGTCCCCTTCGGCTGGTCTCTTTTCATTGTAAGTCCTCCCTTGATCGGTGTTCTTTCCTCTTTAAATCCACCTTCGGCTGGTATCATTTGTTAAGAGTCCCCTTCGGGTGGTCTCTTTTCATTGTAAGTTCTCCCTTGATCGGTGTTCTTTCCTCTTTAAATCCACCTTCGGCTGGTATCATTTGTTAAGAGTCCCCTTCGGCTGGTCTCTTTTCATTGTAAGTTTGCCCTTGATCGGTGTTCTTTCCTCTTTAAAATCCACCTTCGGCTGGTATCATTTGTTAAGAGTCCCCTTCGGCTGGTCTCTTTTCATTGTAAGTTCGCCCTTGATCAGTGTTCTTTCCTCTTTAAATCCACCTTCGGCTGGTCTCTTTTCATTGTAAGTTTTCCCTTGATCGATGTCCTTTCCTCTTTAAAATCCACCTTCGGATGGTATCATTTGTTAGGAGTCCCATTCAGCTGGTCTCTTTTCTTTGTAAGTTCGCTTTTGATCGGCGTTCTTTCCTCTTTAAATCCACCTTCGGCTTGTATCATTTGTTAGGAGTCCCATTCGGCTGGTCTCTTTTCTTTGTAAGTTCGCTTTTGATTGGCGTTCTATTCAGAGCCAACGTCTATTTGTGTCCCTAGTAAGTTCGCCTTCGATTGGTGTTCCTTCGTTAGAGCCTTCTTAGATTGATCTCTTCCTTGTGTATGTCTAACCTTGACCTGATATCCAAGAGGTTTACTCAGCTAACTACTGCAATCCAAAAAGCAAAAATAAAAAATATAGAAAACCAAAAAATATAATAACACCTGAATGGCTTCGGAGTGCAAATTTTCGGGTTCTTTTAGTATTTAATCTTCTTCCACCTTGAATGTTTGAAAGGTTAGCACCAATCTCACCTTCGGGTTGAAGGTGATTAAATAGGGGCTGTTGTTGCACCCCAAACTTTTCCCTCCTAATTTCTTTTATTTGGCTTAGGCTTAGCGTCACATTCGCATCTTTTAATTAGGTTACTAACATGGCATACATTTGGTTCAATAAATTACCATGAGTTCAAAGGACAAGTGAAGTAGCAATATCAGGGTTTTACAGTGATTAGTCATGCATATCAAATAAAGGTCGATTTCTTCTGATTCTCCTGACTAGTCTTCTATAAGCGGCAAAGTGTGGAGTTAGGGTTTGGTTTTTCATTGGTTTCATATTCACTATGAACGATTATACCATCAATTAAGACTCAGTGGATTATAGTTTCATCTCATGGGCTATCTCAAGCATCCTTCGGGTCTTATTCCCTCAACATCTTGAATGCGTCTTAAGTGGATTAGGGTTCATGTCCGTAGTGTTAGCACTAGTTAATTCAATTAAAGATTCATTATTCTTAAGGCATCATTCTTTTAATACTTGTCTCTTGAGGTTGAATTGAGTTTGGAGTTAGAAATTTTAGCAAGAAGGCATGTTGATTTGGTTTATATGCTCATTAAAAATTGAAGTCGTTGTGAATCCATTGTGGCAAGATATTCGTTCATGTGGGCTATGAATTCAGTGTTACCAAGCGATCAATTGGTATGATCCAAGATTTTGGTTTATGGACTCTCTATGGCATCAAAATTGATTCGTCGAGAATCAATACCAGAGGCATATTAATATTTTTCTTGAAGATCCAAAATTCATCAATTCAAGGTGCACCTGTGGCTTGGACTATAAACTGTAGACCGTGGTCTTGGCACAAGGAGAATATAGTTTGAATTCATCTATCCACAACACAATCAATTAAGGTTTTGAGTTTTTTTATTCAGAAAGGTGTCTTTGGCTTGGAGTACAAGGTGTGGACAATATGAACTTCAACATTGAATCCGGTTATTCAAGCACGACGTAACATTTTACTAAGATCCAAGTATTGATTCAAGATCTTGTTTTGAGTTATAAGGCAGGCGTCATGATTAGTGCAAGTATTGGATTCATTTGCCTTTTGATAACATAAAGCCAAGATTTTGATTGACAATATTATTTCAAGCATGTAATTGGAGTTCAACTATGGTGGAACTATGAAAGGTACATAACTTGATTCAAACATCACGGAATTCATCATTCAAGTATTGATTTGAGGCCATTCAAATAATAAAACATCATTTAAGGTTATAAACAAGGTTCTTCAAATCCCATTCAAAAGACATATGAATCCATTCAAGGTATCATGTAGCTTATTACAAATTCGTGCTTAAACCAACTTATTATCACTCAATATTTGAAATAGTTTAAAGATTGGAAAAGAAAAGAAGCTCAGACTAGAAAGTCAAGATGGAACAAATTTGCTTACAAGACAATACAAGGTTTATCCTATTACAAGTACATAGTGCTATTACATGCTTGAAGCATACAAAAATAAATAATTACAAGGCATTTGGTTCTATGTTTCTAAGCCTAAAGCTCTAAATTCTTAAGGCCATAACTCCATGCTTTCACCAAACTGTGCATCTGCTGCTTCTTACCAGTCTTTATCAGCATACCTTGGCTTCAATGGAAGGAAACCCGATGTCCTGGTTAGCACTTCTGTTTCTATTGAAGAGTTTCCTGAGGCTGATGAAAATATCAGGATTGAAGAAAATAATGTAAAACAATTGCATACTAGTAGTTCAGCTCCAATTCAGAAATCCAGTCCCTGCCTAAAACCCTCACATCTTCTTGTTTAGCTTCAACATAAATCATAAAATATGAAAGGAGTATATTAAAAAATCAGGAAATGCTTCAGACCAGATGAAATTGAATTCACAACAAACATGTATTCAACCAAACTGACAATTAGACTCAATCGGCCTTGCATACAATTGCTCAAACTCATGCCAAAGCGGTTCCAGGCCTGCACCGAACTTGAATCCCAATATGGCATCCCTGCTTTGTTCACAAACACAATAAACAGCTCAGTTCCATAATCCACAATTTTGAAACCATAAAACTGTAAATCAACCCTTCATTTTGTTCATACCAGAAATCAGAAAACAATGAAAATAGCAGAAAGTCAAGAATTAATGGCTAACTGCACTCACTAACAGAAAATCAGGAAAAGAAGAACAAAACTCATAGTTTTCCAGCTCACCGTCAATTAACAGAAAACCTTCCTAGCTAACAGCATAACAAAATTTATACTAACCCATGCTTCACAAACTAAAAACTAAGCTAGCTAGCAGTTTCTAAACAACTTCTAACAACCATAACAAAATTTATAAATAACAGAACTCAATCCCCTAACCTCTTTTCTAACCATTTTCTAACTAACTTTTAACAGCAGCAACAGAATTATAAAGACAGAATACTCACCATTCTTCTCTCTCTAGAGAATCCCCAAAGAATCAATCTCTGAAAACTCCTTATCTCTCCCTCTATATTTCATCTTCACCAAGCCTCATTATGGAATTAGGCAGAGAAATCATAACCAAGAAACACAGAAAAATTCTCTCCCACACCATAACCTCCATCTTCCCCTTTCTTTCTTTCTTTCTGAGTTCACGATTATTTCTTCAAGAATCACAAAATCTCTAACAAATTATCTCTGCTACTCAAAAACTCACCTCAGCATAACTGCAACTTTGACATCAACTCTGCATCACTCTCCATTATTACACATATTTAACTTGCGCCAACTTTAAGCCTTATCACTGAACCGAATCAATCTTTATCGCAACCGCACCGAGTCCATGACTTTATCATAATCACCTAATGTTACACATCTTTATCATCGATCTACTTGTTGCAGCTTCAAACAAGAATACTACATCATCTTCAAGTTGCACCATAACAACATTACGCATCAACGCATCGCATCATCATCAACGAATCGTGAAACCGAATTTGAGAACCTGTGGCAGATGAGTTGAATCAAAGAAGATGGTGGAGGTGAATCAGTGTTACGACCCAAAGAAGCTGAATCTGCGGTATGAACCAAGAATGAGTCGGAAGCGTGATGGAAACTCAAAGGAGAAGCGATTTGAGAAGACGATGGAGCACCGTGAAACAAACACCTAGTACGAAGAGAGCGGAAGGGAGAGTGGTTGTTGCGAGGAGCTTGAGGAAGAAGGAGTATCGCTGGTCATGGTATAATTCCACAAAATCATATTTCATTTCAACCCTAGCTACTGAGCTAAACAAGTTGGGTTGGATCATACACTCTTGGCCTGATTTAGTTTTTTGATGGATAACGAAAATTGCGTGTAGACCAAAAATTGGTTGGGCTTAGCTGCAGTTTTCTAAACCAACACCCTATCTAAACTTAACACCCCCTGAAGCTCCATTTCTATATTTGTTTCAATTATATTTTTAATTAATGGTGGTGATTTATTTTTCCATAATATTTGATAAAAAGAGATTTTGATGGAAGAATTTCAAGAGGTTTTAAAGCTATCTAAGAGCAGGATTTTCATCAAGGGAATTCGAGGAAGCTTTTTAGTAGAGTTTTCTTATCACTTGTATGGCTTTTAAGAGGCAACGAAACTACTCCGTTAGAGAGCTTTCGATCGTTTATTTCGATTGAAAAGCATTTGCAATCCATTTTATTTGTGGATTTGACATTCATTTCCGACACGATTTATCTTGATTCTCATTACATGAAAAATATACATTGCTTGTGTTTTTTTCTGGATTGTGAATTCTTGTACATGTATATTATTTGTGATGTGGATGCTTCTGATGCACACACTGCGCATGTGATTTATTTTCACATTGCCGACTTCTGACTATTCTCTTGTTGTGGATGTTAGCTCACTCGAAGTTTTCTTGGTTTCTCTGCTTTTGTTTGTTATGCTACAAACTATTGTTCGTTCAATATCATCTTTTTCCCTGTTTATTTTTCCATATTTTTCTACTTTCTAGATATCATGATAAGTAGGAAATAAAGAGCGTACACTCAAAGTCGCTGTTTAAAAACCTGTAGCAGTCATTTCTCACTTCATTTTCTATATGTATTGTGCTTGTGTTTTTTTCCTCGGTTGTTGATCGATGAGTTACTCAATTTAGGAATTGAGATCACGACTTCGCTCTCATTGCATGTTCCCCATAGGATAGTTTTTGTTAGACTTCCTTTGGTATGCTAGCCTAGGTAGGATCTCTCTAATTGTGCTCTCTTAAGCTAGTTCTCTTGAGCTTATTGGCTTGCTTATTTGATATTATCTTTGTGTGCATGTTTTGAGATGATATACCCTCGACATGTTCCCTTAGGAGCTCTCAATTCAACTATAGATGATGATTCGAGATAGACATAGTTTTAGGTGATAGACCCTTGCTATGCTCCTTTAGGACTTCTTGATTCATCTATAGATGATGAGTTGAGATAGACATTAGGATTGTTATCCAAGCATGTCAACTTAGGGTAAAGATTTCCCTTCAAACTCAATCTTAGGATTAATCATTGTATGATAACATTAGGGATAGATCTAGGTTAGTCTCCTTTAGATGATTTTTCTTTATTTTGCATCCATGCATTAAAATTAAAACTTCCTTTTTCTCGAAAAAAGCATAAAATATCTAACAACTTCCAAATCCTTATTTAAGGTAAAAAATACCAATCAATGTAAACTCTTTTGTGCCTTCGGGCTTTTCTTTCGAACTTTTTCAGATAGGACATGTTAATTCACTTTTGTGCTAACGCGTAAGTCTCCAAAGGTCGAGTTGCGATAGAAGACGAAATTAATATTGTTCATTAAAAAGTATAAACCAAAAAGACTTTTGAAGTCGAACTACGGTAGCTCTGATTCCTCAAAAAGGATACGTAGCCATTGGGGTAGGGCCCAAGCGAGTATAATTTTATTTTCCCTACATTCTTTTATCATTTCTTTTGCATGCATTCTCCCTTTAGCAGTAGTAAACAGTAAGCATAGATTAAACACACCCATAAGATAGACAACAAGAGTGGAAATCATAGAGTAATACGGGCGTGTGGGGTGTTAATACCTTCCCCTCGCATAATAGACTCCCTTACCCGATCTCTTGGTCACAAGACCGTGACTTCTCCCCTCTCAGGTTTACTCGATGTTTACCTTTCCCTTCATGTGGGATAAAAGATGTTCAATGGTGACTTCATTGTTTGATGATTTTCAGCCAGTTGTTTCATGGGTAACACTGTCTTTAACAGAGAAGGAAAAGAATAAGAGCGACCTTTAGCGGGTAAGGAACTTTTAATAGCTTGCTCACAACCATTTTCACAAATAAAACATCTTTACACACCACACTTTTTTAAACAAAATATTTTCAACACTCTGTACGCATTCTTGAGGACTGATACAAGAATCATTACAAAGTTGGTTTTTCAACATATTTTCATACAAATCACACACACAAAGCAACTTTTCAAAAGTAAGCTAAACAATTAAGAGCCCGTAGATAACTACAGATGAAAAGGGTTCTAACACTTTCCCCATTTCATAACTTACCCCCAAAACTCAAAATCTATCAAGGTCTTTCTTGTTCTTTTCACCCTTTCCTTATTGGATAAAAGAAAAGTCGATGACGACTCTTGCTAACCATAACATTTGTGATAAAACGCCAAAAAAGTCAGTTCTCCCACCGTATTACACAATTATTTTCTTCTTTTCATAATTTTCAATGATCCTTAATTCAAAGGTCTGTAATGATCCCATAAGTTCATCAACTTTCATGTTGTTTATATCTTGGGCTTCTTCAATGGCAGTCACCTTCATGTCGAATCTCTTTGGAAGAGATCTGAGAATTTTTCTGACCAACTTAGCTTCTGACATCTTCTCCCCTATGGCACTTGAGGCATTGGCTATCTCAATAATATTCATGTGAAAGTAATGAATGCTTTCATCCTCTTTCATTCCTAAGTTCTCATACTTGGTGGTAAGAAGTTGAAGTCTTCACATTTTCACCTTAGAGATTCCTTCATGAGCAGTCTTCAAGATCTCCCAAGCTTCTATAGCAACAGTGCAACTACTTATCAGTCTGAAGATATTCGTGTCCACTCCATTGAATAGTGCATTCAATGCTTTGGAGTTTCCCTAAGCTAATTTATCATCTTCATTATCCCAGTCTTCTTCAGCCTTTAGCACATCAGTAATCTTCCCACCCTTATCTCTAGCCATTGGTGGATCTCATCCTTTGACAATAGATTTCAAGCCTTGTTATCTATGGATTTAATAAAAGTCACCATACGAGCTTTCTAATACTCATAATTGTGTTCTATTAAGAATCAATGGTCTGTTCACAAACCCTCCTTCCTTATCCATTGTACCAAAAAGTATCTTCCCTGAATCTCACCCAGATACAGAGTAGGATGCGTGCTCTGCTACCCGTTGAAATTCTAGTATGCAGATATCAAATATTCTAAGAGATATTGAGACATTGATATCTAATCAAAACATAATGACAATATAAACACAGTTAAAAATATTGAAAGTAAACAAACACAGAGTTGTTTACCCAGTTCAGTGTACAACTACACCTACGTATGGGGGCTATCAAGCCAGGGAGGAAATCCACTAAATAATATCAGTTTGTAGACCTTTAGCAAGTTATCTCTAGTTTACAATCTACACACCTAATCACTACCCGTGCTTAACTTCTACCTAAGACTCACCTAGAAATGAGACCCTTCTCACTTCCCTTTCAATCACAACAGTGATGAAACAATAATACTTTAAAACTTTTTAGAAGTCACATTTCAAAGACACACAATCATTCAACGCTCAAAAGCTTAAGAGTGATTAACAGAACTTACAACTCAATAGAGCCAGTCCTTCTCTTATACTAAGATGATATTAGAGAGGCTCACAAAATAACATGAACATACAAACCCTAAAAGATTACTTCACAACACAATACATTCCACACCTCAATTAGGTTTGTGGTCTTCTATTTATAAACTTTTTTGGACTTGATTTGGACTTTAAAAATGCAACAAGGAAGCTGCTAAAAATATGCAGAATATTTTACATAAAAGTAGGTCTTCAATCAAGTATTTCCTAAAATGTCTCAACATTAAAAAAAACAAAATAACCTTAAACATAACAAAAATATCTGATTCCTTAATCTTGGATGCCACATAGGATTACTTAATATTCTTAGAATATTTTGTAATCTTTAATTAAACCAAATAAATTAAATCTGCAAAACTACAATAGACAAGATGTCGAGACTTCGAGTTGGGACATCTTGTTTAACATGTTGTTTCCAAGTTAGTTTTACCAAACTTAATGCTAATCATAAAAATAGAGAATTAAAATAATCCTCCACCAGATAAGACCATGGAGGAGGGAAAATTCTCCCAGGTGTTGTGTGTTGCAAAGTAGAGGGAAAAGTCGGTCTCGTCGGGGATGTAGGAATCCTCAGGTTAAGAGATACACATGGTGATCTGCAGGTTGGCCTCGTCGGAGGGTGGCTTTACCTCCTTGACCTTCTTTGGTTCCTGGGTGTCCTTTCTAGGAACTTATCTTTTCTTGGTATACTCTTCAGTGACGTGCTCGTGACTCTTGTGGAACCAGCAGTATTTGTTCTTGTCCATGTTAGGATTGGGAGAATTTTGTTGTAACGCC